AATTCGTGAGGTCCGTTGGTTCGTTCCGTGGCTTAGTTGGTATAGCGTCTGGCACGGTATGCAAGAAGACGTCGGTTCGAATCCGACCGGATCGAAGGAATTTTTTCTGAGTGTTCGATCTTTGTATTAATAATTATAATTATAGCTTTTTTATACAAAAAAATAACTTCAAAAGTTTGTGGAATTATGTCTATTTGCCAAGTTTTATTGAAAATGTATAACGGAAAATGGTTGAAATCCAATAAACCTGATTTATCCCCTAATTTGCTACCCTTAGATATGGAATATTTTCTTCAAATTTAAATGGGGCTAATACTGGGGTACCCTCTTTGAAACAAAAAAGAATCATCAAAATCGGTTCACAAATCTACGACTAATCGCGTAACATACACACATAAAAAAGTACAGTCGAATTGAGAATCTCCTCTTTTTTTAAGTCAGTTAAAAATAGAACTACTGTAAATCCATAACCGACGTACATTTAGTAAAGCATCATGTCATGATTTGCATGAATATTTTAATGAACAAAAAACACCAACACAGGTTAATTGAAATGCCTCGTAAGACCTATTATTAGACTAGATCATTACGTGACGATTAGTAATATATCTTAAGATTATGCACTATAGTTGCAGTTTCAATAATCGTAGCTGCAAAATAAAGTTGCGTTATGCTTAGGGATGCCGAGCCGGCAGCCTCCGGAATGCCTAAGCAGCCTTGGGGATGCCTCGGTAGCCTTGAGATTCTTCGGCAGCCTTGGGGATGCTTCAGCAGTCTTCGGGATGCTTCGGAAGACCGAGTGCGACTATAACGGTATGCGGGGCGAGGTGAGCCACGTACGGCCAGACTGATCTGAAGGCGTGAGCACGGTGTCGCGATGGAATGCTTCGGCATGCCTAAGCACGCTTAGGCGAAAACTCGTACGCGATTATCGTAAGCAATAATCGCCACAAGATTATCGTATCATAATGTTTACATTCAGGCCAGAACTAAAATCTCGCCTACGATTATGTCATACGAGATTCGCAAGCAACTTAATCGCCTCCTCGACTGTTTACACAGAGAAATATGTAAATAAGAAGTTTATACTTACGAATTTTTGTACTTGTCTAAACACGATCTCGTATGGCATTTTTTCAAGTTCATACGATTATCGTACAAATCGGTTCGAACCGTTTTGAGTGCGAGAATTGCCATTCGAGTTCAGTGATTGCGGTATTGACTATGGATACATCAAAATGTCGCAAAAATCATTAAAATTTGAAACTGCTGATAATATTAAGTTCATTGCACTGTATAGATATATAATTTGGTTTATCATTAAAAAAAAAATATAACTACTGACAAAAACAAAAAAGGACAATTATGATAAATTTATAGGGCGAGTGAGTGAGTGAGTGAGTGAGTGAGTGAGTGAGTGAGTGCGTGCGTGAGTGAGTGAGTGAGTCAGTGAGTGCGTTCGTTCGTGCGTGCGTGCGTGAGTGAGTGAGTGAGTGAGTGAGTGGGGAGTGAGTGGGGAGTGAGTGGGGAGTGAGTGGGGAGTGAGTGGGGAGTGAGTGGGGAGTGAGTGGGGAGTGAGTGAGGAGTGTTTATTGAAAAGTGCATTTACTTGAAAAGTCGTGTCCGCCATCTTGGATTTAGAAAGAAATGCTATATTCGTAATGAGCGCCCCCAAATACCTCAAAAACGATACCCAACTTGCCATTATTTGAGAAGTCGTGCCTACCATCCTGGATTTAGAAAGGAGTGCCATATTCGTTACGAGAACACCACAAATACTATATTGCCCACGCTATATTCGACCACGGAGGCGCTCACACACTCACCCTCTCACTCACTCACTCACTCACTCACTCACTCACTCACTCACTCACTCACTCCCCACTCACTCCCCACTCACTTCCAATTATTTGAAAAAATTTTTTTCGCTCTCGTTCCATTAATTCTTATCTTAGAAAAGCAGTGATAATCAAAACACCCTCGCGCACTGCACGTATGGTAGAAACGGCTGGCACAAAAACTCGAAATACGATTTTTGCTTTCAAGTTCTGTTTACACGGAGACGTTCAACATGCAAAGGCGAGGTGATTATCGCTCACGTGGAAGGGCGATAATCGCGAATGTTTAGACGAGGAAAGTTTTTTTACATTCTTTCGAGAATCGCAACTTCGAGACGAAAAACTCTCTCCTTCTAAATGGGCCTTTAGTAAAGTAGTAGGCTATTGAATTGGCAGCTGAAGGTCGAGCTCAGTGGCGTAGATTCTAAAATAACGATGTCCAACTATTTATATTATTTTTCTTCTGATTATATTATCAAGTGACGGAACGAACAAGTCGTGGATCTGGAGGAAAGAAAAACTTCATAAGTTGCTTAAAAGTGCACTGACGCGAAATAAGCTGTTTAAACTCGATACAAGGATCTGTAACAAATACATAAAGAAATTCGTAAGATCTGCGGACACGGTTCGTAACATAGTTGCGCTGGAACGGTGTCTCCGACAACGCAACAGACACTGGTTGTCGGCTGGTGTCAAGGCTAGTCAGATCGAAAGAATTTTTCTTTGTGTTCGATCTTTCTATCAATAATAAAAACAAACTAGTGAAATATTTTCACAAAAACTATACGAAAATCATCATGATATTGAATAATCAAGAAAAACAAAACATTTCAAAAATAAAATATCAAACTTTAATCAATTACCTCGATCTATACAATCTGTTGCTACCTTTCATAAAAATTCCTGTCTTTACTTATAAAATAGAGCTCTAATTATTATCGTTGGATGGATTCTTCGTTATTAAAAGTGGACACGTTCATTCAAAGAATTGAAGATTTGAAGGGAATATGTCAGGCGAATACGGTGGATGAGATAACAAATCCCAATCCCAACTGCTAGTTTTTGACGGTTTTGTAAAAATGTGTGTGGTGCTTTTCATTCATTATACAGTTAAGATTTTCCCGTCTATTCTTGAAATGCTCGCAAAAATATTATTTTTAAATACTTATAGACTATAGACAATATAACATTTTAAAAGAAAAAAGTTCTTTTTCCGTTTAAAGTTAGCTAGTGGCAAAAACATATTAGAATAATTTTGAGGTTAGTTTCTCACCTAATTTAGGTGTAAATTTTTATTATTCAAGTATTCGAGTACATTATCGTGAAATGATAAATAATATTACAGGTTGCTACACTCGAATATTCAGAAATACTTCATGATAATATTCTAGAATATTTAGCTAATAAAAATTGCCAATTAGGTAAAGAAAACTAAGCTCAAAATTACTCATAATGAGATTAGTATAGTAGTGTATAAAGTTGCTGTTGTAGCGTAAATATCAATTCAAACGAGCACGATAAGTACAAATTGTTTCACTGATTGTAACAAACGCATACCAGCCCAATTATTACGGCTTTTACATTTTAGTTACCAATAATGGTCACATTCATACTCTGTAAAGAGCACTCATCTGAATGTAATTAAATCGAATGATAATTTGGCCTGGTTATTCAGAATTTATGATCGAATCAACTATTAACTCGTTTATTTATGCTTACATATAAATATGAAATTTTCGGCGTATTTTAGTATATTTAACTCTGAAACTAATGCTTTTATTTACGGAGGCATTACCTACAGTGCATGCCATCGATGTGATAAGAAGAAAAATGTATTTAATTTTGTTAGTCTTTTCAATTTTGTTTGGTTTTCATAAGATATGTATTTTTTTGTCACTGCGACTGCGCTTTTGATACAGTCATGCTTTTAATAAAGAAAAAATGTTTTGTATGGTATATTGCAGTATAGAATAGTTGGTGTGGCATGACATGACAATATGGTGTAACATGATGCAACTCGATGTTTTGGTGCCTATTTTGCGCGTTGTTAATATTGTATATTTCTGTATAATAATGAATCCTCAATGTAGAGGATTTTTTAAAGAAAACATTATAAATACATTATTTTATCGGACATCTTTGTATTTTGATATTTTTATAATACTTAGGTTTTTTTACTATTGTGTTATACTCGTAATTCACTACTATTGTTTTCTATGTGACAACAATATTATCACTTGAAATTGTATTTTAAATTGTAATATTGTGACATTGATAATGTGGAATAGGGTTTCTGATTTATCTACATATTTTTTGTCTCGAGTTTCGAAAATTCTCGTATCCGATTTCTCGAGTTGTTCGAGAAAATTTTAAAAATCTTCTATATCAGAGAACGATCAGAAGCAAGAATGCAAAGATCGCGTAACTTTTAACCCGATTTTTCAGAAATTAAAAAAGGAAATTGGATTTCTCGACTTCGTTAGTCCTCGAGGACATTTTTCTCGTCTCAAAGTTGGCCAGATTTCTCGACTCGAGAAATCTCGAGCAGAAACCCTAACGTCACATTTTCTGTTAAACAAAGGTAAAACAAAAGGAGCAGACTCTAATTAATACTTGAGCTAGAACATAGACCTCTATTATCTCAAGTTTATCCTTGCAGTGTTGTTGGATAACAAGGGTTCTAATCAAGATTTCATTTCCGTTTAATAATTAGTGTCTTGTATAACTTTGTCGTGATGTTTAGGGGGATCACACCTAACGAGGTATTAAAAAACTCCAATGCAGGGTAAACTTTGTAGCACATTAATGAGTTCGTCCAAGGACTTATATACGACAAGCAGGTGCCCGCGATTTCCATCTGCGTAGAATAAGTGTTTGGAGTAGCCTACTGTACTGTGGTAATTTGCATAGATTTATTGGTTCTACGTACAAACTTTCATTCCCTATTTCACTCCTTTAAGATTTATTTTTGTAACAAAAATCGCCTATGTCTTTTTCCTAGGACCCATCTACCTCTATACCAAAATTCATCAAAATTGATTCAGAGGTCTAGGCGTGAAAATGTATCGGACAGAGTTACTTTCTCATTTATAATATTAGTTTGGATAAACGTTATGTTATAGTGATATGTTACAATCTCGTGTTATAATTAGGACGTCCTAAAGAAAGGTCCGGTGAAGGGTGCTCTAACGAGCATGTATAAAGCATTGATGCGTGTTGATGAGGTGAACAATCTATGTGATCGTAGTAAGTTAAAGCTCTGCATACAAAGATGGGTAGAGGACGTGAAGTGTGTGTATGTTATAAGCATATGTTATAATTATGTGTTATGGAGATATGTTATAACTATCTTATCCTTTAGTTTATGTATTGTTTGTATACCACATAATGTTTTTATCTAATATTAGAGGTTATTATGGGTGCACAAAAGGAGCCTCCGCGCACGACATACCATTCTTTTCCCGTGGCGCACATTCGGCAACAATTGGCGAGTACCTCACGCCGATCGGCTCATCCTTTCACCACGATGACAAGTATATCCTATAGCTCAGCACCAAAGCGGGCACTTTTCCACCTAACCTTGTGCCCTACGTGCCCTAACAGTCGACGTGGCTCAGGTCTGGGCCGCAATAGTGTAGTTTATGCCGTCGATACGATAACAAGATGAGAATTATTTTTATTATACCAAGTGACGGGACGATAAGTCGTGCGCCTGGTGATAAGCGACACGCCTGTCCGTAACAGTTGCAGTGACATTTAGTGCTTCAAATCACAAAGATCTAAGGAGCAATGCCATTGCGCCCGTCACCCTGAGACAAGTTGACAAGTCCCATGTGCCTGCAATTTCACCAACACAAAACCATAACACACTAATGCTCACATTACTGGTTAGTAGCAGTACTTCCCTGGACAAACTCTTTTACAAGGAACTCTACTGCTATTAAATTATTTTTAGCTGTTTTGTACCTAACGTCTAACGTGTATCTAAATATACGATAGCGCCCGTTGAGCACAGTTCCCGAAGAGCTGGAGCTGACACAGTAATTAAGTGCTTAATTTTAATACATAATCTTATAACTAAATTTTCAGTCGAGTTCCTAGGTTTTCGCGATTGTTACACATAGGAAATGAAACTATTTTTCCGGATTTAAATCGGACCTGTAAAGGGCCCGAAACGTCGGTTTGTTTGAAAAAACAAATATACGCGATTTAAATCCAGAAAAATAGATTCATTTCCTAAATTTTCAGTGTTAAAAAACTTACCCGCATCATGAGTAATATGACAATACACGATACGCCCAGTGTACTGTCTGCAAATCTGGCATTTGGTATATTTATTATTACCTGCAAATCAGACACAGTGTTAATAGTAAAACGTTATGTAAGCAATACTAAGGAGGTGCTCAGATATTTTTTTCATCAAACACCGCGTTTTTAGACAGTTGTAGGTAACAAAGAAACTAGGTAACGCCCGCAACAATCCCACACACTTTATCTACAAAGTAAAATTGTATTCTGATTAAAAGTTTCATGAAGTAGGACGGTTTGTATTTTATGAATCAGCTACAAAACCTTGGTAAAGATAGACGTTAGTTTAAAATTTTACTTTTAAAATGATGTTTGTTGACAAGATACAAGTCGCCACACAGTTGATGCTAAAATTGTTTGTTTAGCTAGGTCAGTGGTCCAAAATAAGCTATTCATGGAAATAACAACAAATAAAAAAGTAAGTAGTTAGTGACTAGAGATCGGATTAGAAAGTATATTTACCTAAACATCAAGAAACGAATCATATAGAATGGAGAATACCTCCCTCAGAAGCACAGGAATTATTGCGCTACAGTTTTGACGCGTAACTGTTAATTATCTATGGGAGAGTATTTAGAAGAAAAGTTTTGTGTAAGTAAAAACATAACTATTTTTGGTTTGATATTTTGACTTTCAGTTTTTATCATTTTGGGGTTTCAGAGATGTTATCGACTTTATGTGTGTTACTTGAAATTTAGACAAATATACTATGTCTATTTCGATGTCTGCTACTGACATAGTTGATATAGATGTATGTTTTTACGAGAAAAAGTGATATAGTACATAAAGTTGATTTATTCAGTGACATGAATTGTCATGACGAAGAACGAACAAGTCGTCCGCTTGGTGGTAAGCGACATGCCTACTCATGACATAAGTTGACTATAATTTTACCAGCTCCCTTACCCTTCAAAACTGGAACGCAGTAACGCTCACATAACTGCTTGGCGGCAGAAATAGGTAAGGTGACAGTACTTCCCCGGACAAATTTTTTCAATGTTATCATAATTCAACTTTTTTTAGCGTTCCTTTATATATCGAGTCATTACCGCCTTAGACTAAGCGAAAAAAAAAAAACAAAAACATGAGAGGGTCTTTTTTAAATATTTCTACATATAAATGTGAATCTAATTTGACTTTTAATATACAGGGTGTAAATTTGAGACGAGGGAGCAAGGCCAGCTACCTTAATCGTTGTAGTTACAGGAAAACGGTTCTAACATAACGGACGATTGATCTCTGACCCAGAGTGGAGTGCTTCTTTCAGTTGCCTTCTTTAGTCTGCCATTGCCGGCTTAGTGATCTTCATATTTGTAGTTAGAAAGTGCCCCAGCTGTGTTCAATCCAAATTAAATATCAAATTGCAAAGCTGTCTTCGAACGGCAACATGACGATCAGCCCCAGTTTCATTAAAAATAACAAGCAAAAATATTCGCTTTCTAAGACATTTCCGAAAGGAATTCGGTGTCAGAAATGTTTGGAGAGGGGCCACTGGAGCTTTGAGTGCAAGGGGAAGCGCAAGATCCTTTTGCGGAAGTCACGCATACAAATGTTGTAGCAATTTTTGAAGGAAAAAGATGGTGAATGCAGTAAAGGGAATTGCAAACCTTCCAAATACAAGAGGAGAATGTGCTCAGATGCAGATTGTGAAACCAGTGACAGCGATTTTGATCGCAAGTGCAAAAGCAAGAAGTCCAGGCCCTTAAAGAAATGCGCTGGAGGCAAATGCGCTGGAGGCAAATGCGCTGGAGGCAAATGCGCTGGAGGCAAAAGCTCTGCGGGCAAATGCACTGGGGGCAAATGCGCTGGAGGCAAATGAAGCAGAGGCAAGTGCGGCAAAGGTAAATGCGGTGGAGAAAATTGCGAACGAGCTGGTTCATCTTCGGACAGTGACTCAGATAGCAGCAACAATCAGAATAACTGACTCTTCGGACAGTGAGTTTGAGTCAAGCGAGTATGATTCGGACAGCACTAACGATTCTGGAGACTGCAACGACTCTGACAGTTACTGATTGGAACCAGTACCAGTCACTAATGCCGAACATGAGGACAGCTGGCAGTCCTGGAGTTCTTTGAGCTCGGTGGATGGAACTGTCAAACTCATTCAATACTTGAATAATTGCTGCCCAGATTTGGATAGTTCAAGTGACTGGGACTAAATTATTAATCGTAAATATCAGTTTAGAGCAGGTACATTTTTCTCTTAGGTAAATGTTCTTCAATGTTTCGTTGCGAAGGATTCTTTTTAATGTAAGTTTTAAGAACGTATTTATAATGCTGGACATTTATATCATAGTTGTGTAAACATTTGTAATATCTATATTTTAAGATATTGTGTAATCGCCTAGAATTTCGATTTTGTAACAGCTTTGTCTTTTGTTGCAAGAGTTTTAGTAGAAAATTCACGTAGAGTAGAAAACATAGAATGTAGTATGGGTAAATAAAATTTATATTTAATGATATTTAGTATATTATGTGCGTCTAATATAATGTAAACTCAGTGATTCTAGCGTAGTGTTTATAAAGTACATAAAATTGCGAATTACTTTGTACTTTCTATGCGTAATACGAAATTTTATTTTTATAAATTATTTAAGTTTTTTGTACTGTAGTAATGGTATTTCGAACATCGCTTCATTAAACAAGAAAATAAGTGAAACGTATCAAGGGCTACTATCAAAGCCATCACCAAATGGCGAAAAGGGTGTTTAAAGTAGTGCCATATCTACCGTAAATCTGCCGAGTAATTTCGACTTTTCATGCATAATAATATATAATAATATATGCATAATAAAATAATAGGGGTTAAAGTATGAAATTGCCGATTTGTACTGAAAATCTAAATTGTTTATTTTTTAAATTTTTAACAAATTTATTTAATCAAAATAGTTGCCATTATTATCTATACATTGCTGCCATCTAATGGGAAGGTTATTAATGCCTTTGCGATAGAACTCCGACGATCTAGACTGCACAAACTGTGTGAAAGCATTTTGTACTGCCTCCTGGGAAGAAAACTTCTTGTCACGTAGATAATTGTCCAAATCACGAAAAAAATGGTAGTCCGTTGGAGCAAGGTCTGGTGAATACGGAGGATGACGAATGGTTTCTAACTGCAGTTCCTGAAGGGTCAAAATGGTTTCTCGTGCTGTGTGAGGTCTCGCGTTGTCGTGGAGCAATAATGGTGAAGATCGATTCATGAGTCGGGGCTGTTTTACTGCTAGTTTTGTCAACATGGTTCGGAGTTCGGCACAATAGACATCTGCCGTTATTGCTTGACCAGATCGGATAATACTATAGTGAATAACACCATGCTGAGACCACCAAACAGTTACCATTACCTTTTTATTGGTAAGTTTTGCTTTAGGACACTGTTGTGGCATTTGACCTGGGGTCAGCCATTGCATTTTTCTTTTCCGGTTATCATAAAGAATCCACTTTTCATCACATGTTACAATTCGATCCAATATTCCTTCATTTCTGTACCGGTTCAACAAGGCAACACAAGTTTCAACACGCGTTTCTTTCTGCAGATCAGTCAAATCATGAGGCACCCATTTTTCGTATTTTTTTATTTTATTGATTTGACGCAAGTGAGTAAATATTGTGGGTAAGGTAACGTTAAACCATGCCGCTAATTCCTGGGTAGTTTGACTAAGATCGGCTTCCACTATCTCTCTTAATTCATCGTTATTCACCTGTGTGAGCGGTCTTCCTCGTGGCTCGTTCTTTAAGTCGAAATTTCCATCACGAAAGCGTTTAAACCAAAATCGCACGGTGCGTTCATTAGTAGACCCCTCTCCAAACGCAGCATTGATATTGCGGGCTGTTTCTGCCGCGTTAGTTCCGCGTCGGAACTCGTATTCAAAAATCACTCGAATTTTCGCAGTATCCATCTTTCTTGTCTAAATTGAATAACAAAAACAATTGAAAGTCGATATTCAAATGTTTCAAATTAAAAAAAATAAAAAAATCACAGAAACCATTTGAAAAAAGTTTCATTCGAAAACCTCAAACCATGAAGATTCTATGAAAATTCAAAGAACCTATTGCAATAAAACGGCAATTTCATACTTTAACCCCTAATATAATGCATTTTAATGCAAACAGAGATTGTTGTATTGTCTTGTCTTAACAAGTGGAGTGGAGTCGATTACGTTACGATTTTTTAATATTGATTCTGTCGGTTAGACTAAAATATGAAAAAAAAAAAAAACAGCTGAGCTAAAGAGTAACTTAGCTTTTGCTATAATTTCTATTTGATGTAATTTTAGAGATGGGAAATGTCGATGCGTTCTTGTCCGTTATAGTTTAAACCATAATTTGTAATTGCAATAAAAAACGCTGTTTAGGTAAAAATCGCGTACGATAAGTCGGGGGCTGTGGCTTGATAAGCCTATGAATTATTCATGTTATGCACGTTTGCCGATTTCTATCTGCATTCTAAACGAAAGTTCATTTATAAATTAATAAAAAACATTCATTTTGATATCATTGTGGTTAATCATTACACGATTATCACTAGTTACAGGTTTCCTACCATAATATGAATAGCGCTTCTTGATCATGGATAATCTCGTAACAAGAGTTTTGAAATAAAATAAAGAAACTTCAGCCGAAGAATTAAGTCATGCCGCGGGTAGAATCCTGTGAATAGTGAAAAATGAAACTATTTACCTTCTTCAAAGTGTCAACGAAGCCACCAGATTTGAAATTAAGACCCAATAACCCTTTCAGCTGCGAGACGGCGATTATCACAGACGTCGCCGAGGTGAATCCGACTGTCACTGGCACGGATATGAAGTCTATTAGCACGCCTGGTACAAAAACAGAGTATTTTACGTATGAAAATAATGAGAATCGGTTATTTACAATACTAATAGCAGCAATATTAGTGTTCTGATCATGTTCTGATAGTCATTTCGACCACCTGTATAAGTGACGACGATTTGAGGTTATTATTTTTATTATAATATTTTATTTTCATAACATTATGATGTTTTTACTACTATGATATTCAACTTTTTTTGTGAAAATATTTGTACTACTTTGTTATTAGTATTGATACAAAAATCGTCAAACACAAAAAAAAAACCAGAGCGGTAGCCACGTTTAGGCAACAGTCGCTGTTTTCTCGAGACTTGTATCAATAACAATAACACGTTTTTCTTATTATACAATTTTGCTTTACAACAACATCTTAATTAAATTTCATGCACATGTTTGGCATCTTATTGATAATTTGCACGATCAAGACTCTGCTAACCTTATTATTATTATTACTAATATTAACCTTATAAGGCCACGTGTACATTATGTATCAAAACGTACATAATATGTGAAGTGATGCAGAGAGTGTACATTATAATGAACATACCGCATTCAAATTTAACGCTATATATAGAGGCGTTTTTCATACAACAATACTTGCATAGACCTGATCTCAAAAGTAATGAGAATCTTGAGTAATTTACAACCATTACTTCAATAAAGTTAATAACCATTATGGTTTTGGCTATAATGAAGGTAAAGTTTAGTTTTTTTTTATAATTCATACTCGGAATGTTGGTATTATAAAAAATATTTTAATAGTTGCTATAAATTAATCTATAATTGACGATAAATAAAAGTAAAAAAAATTGTAAAAAAAAGTTAATACTGTAGTAATATTTAATGTTATGCAAATAAGGTATAGCACTATGTTTCGTTGAAATCCAATATACGTTACATGAAATCAGTACTTAGGAAACTGTTATCTTGAGAAAAGCGTTTTCAATTTATTTACTTTTGTATGCGAACACTGAAGTCTGTGACGTAAATTAAGTAAGTAAAGATAAGAGTAACATAGAAATCATAATGGCATTTAAACGTAGGCGCATTTTGTATAATTTCTTATTAGCTTTAGATACTGCAAAGACAATAGCCATTATTCCCCAAAACGGAGAAAGGTAGAATGCTGTTGGAGTAATCTGAAGTAATACGTACACCTCCACGCCAAAACGTTACAAAATTTCTTGAAAATTATTGGTTACTGAAACACAGCTCTTATCTATTGTACTTTAGTAGATAATGGAATTAGTTCGTTAGATAAACAAAAGAGATTGGCATTTGTTTAGCATCACCGTAGTTTTACTAAATTATCCAGCTAAGGCAATAAAATCTCAAAATAAATCTTTGCAAAAATGTCAGCCGACATTAAGGACTTATTTCGTTCCGTAGTAGAGAGCGAGTTACAACTTCGAGGTAATAAAAGTACAAAGTAGCTAAACACAACCGTCCGTACTTCCAGTAGCAGCTATAAACCTGAGAGGTACCGTTGACTTTCAGCTTGCACATTTTTATAGCTGGTACGCGGTTTGTATTTCATTTGGTTCGGACAGAATGCACTGCTGAATTTTTTAATAGTCTAAGGGTCGCACTGCACTTGTCAGAACCGCGTTCACATTAAACACGTGTTTTATACGGTATTTCGTAAGCATGATTAATATTTGAAATATACGAAGCGTGCTGATGATATACCATATAAAATAGATGTTAAGTATGGACACAGTGCTAAAGCATGATGGCAAATAGGTCAAACCTTAAACGCATTCTCGATTTTACTTATACCGTTATATATAAAGGCACACTAACATATCATATCATATAGAAGTAACAAATTTAAATTATTCTATGTTTTTAAACCACATTTATGTATAACACACAAGAAAAATATGGAAAATAAATAAAATATTAAAATTAATAAATTAGTCCTAAGACTAATTGTTGAAAAAATGCGAGGAAAGTTTAAAACATTGGGTATTTTTCAATAACTTTTTCTTTCTTAAGGTTTCCTTAATAAGTCTTTCTCTCTCCCTATGATGCTGGATGCTTAAAAAAACAGAACAAAGTACTAAAAAAAGCGACCTCAAAAGTCATTCATCCCCTAGTTTGCCACCTTTAGAGGTGGAACATTTTCTTCAAATTTAAATGGGACCACAACTGAGATACCGTCTTTGCAATAAAAAAAGAATCATCAGAATCGCTTCACAAATCTATCCGGAGTTATCGCGTAACATACATACAAAAAAAAAAACATACAGCCGAATTGAGAACGTCCCCCTTTTTTCAAGTCTACTATAACTAAACAAACTAGTATAATAATACGTACCTAAATGCAATATTCCCATAATAAGCTGCACTACACCAGTAAGAAAGCATAGTAAGATGGCGTAGTCGAAATTCCTTCCCTGTATTTGTTGATACGTCATCAAGGCCATTAACGCAGTAGGTCCCAGTGTAATCTCCTTGCATGATCCAAATATAATGTAAATGAAACATCCCACGAACGATGAGTAAAGACCGTACTGAAAAAAAAAAAAATATTAGCCAGTAATATAATAGTTCGGTATATAGTAACAATGAGTATTTTTTTTAATATCAAGTGACATGACAAACAAGTTGTGCGCCTGGTGTTAAGTAACAAGAGTGGTGCCACTCAGAGCTTTAAACCGCAAAGATCTCAGGGGCACTACCTCTTCGCCCGTAACCCTGAGACATATTCGTAAATTGACAAGTCTCATGTGCCTGTAATTTCGCCAGCATTACCCTTCAAGACCGGAACGCAGTAATGCTTACATTACTGCTTGGTGGCAAAAATAGGTATGGCGGCAGTACTTCCCTGGACGAACTCTTTCATAAGGAGCTCTACTACTATTATACTTATTATGAGTAAGCCACAACAGCTACCATGTGTGAATGTAAATGTCGTCAAAACAATAGGTACATAAAGTATAATATAGTGACGTGATTGTTTATGCCAAAGGATGTTCGGTGTACCATTCACAATTAAATTCAGCACTTAGTTCAGCTGTGTAATCAAAAATGTAAATAAATAAACCATACGTCGAATAGCGTTCTTGAATTATTGTAAGGAAAAACAATGCTAACTTATCTTACAGATTTTCCTGTAACCCGAATGTTGCCTAGAAGAGCAATAAGGCCGCCTGTTGTACCAGTTATTATTTAATTTTTGGATTATGTATTTGTCCCAGTATACAATAAAGAATAATAGTATTGAATTGTAATGGTAAGAAAACAAAAAATCAAATAGAAATTCTTAAGAATAAATTCATCTTTAAGTACAACTAAATTTTCTATAATATGTATGAAACAGCGATAATTACCAAGAACGTTAACAAGTTGATCATTTACATACTTTTGCTTTTGTTTTGCACATTAGCTATGTATGATTTTTTTTTATTTATACAATTTTTAACTACACTCATAAATATTTACGATTAACGCGAAAGAGAGGTCCTTATTTTAATTCTTACTTCAAAGTATTCTTCTAAATCATATTTTAAGATGTAGTTTACGAACGCTGTCTATTTAAAACCATGACGTCGATAAAAAGGCGTAGATAGAGGTCACACGCGTGAGTTTTTGCCCAGCAGTGCTAGGGAGATATCATATTATACCTCTTTAAAAATCAGATTCTCAGTAGTTCACGTAAAATATGCGCGTTTTTCATTCTCTATTCAAATGTATTCTTATACACACATAAAATAAGCTCCTATGCAAACGCATGCTGAGAAACTGTGTGTTAGAGGAGCAATTGGAAGCAGATCGTGTTTCCGCCGGGGATTGGTTCAAATATGCCTGATCCAAAGTATAGAGGTGTTCTGCCTCCTTCTCTAAGAGGAGTTGATAACGATTAAGCCACTTATTCGTTATTAACAATCGAAAAAAAATGTTAACAATGTCCATTTGATATTGTTTCCCGGGATATAGGTTTCTTTTAATTTGAGAATTGAATATAAATGCGCTTAATCTCGCGTAGTATTCGCGTTGCACGGCATCGGTCGTCACATGCGTCTTTCTATACAGAATTGGAACGTTCGCTCGATGTTTAAAAGTTGTCTAATAGTATACGTGTTTAAAATTGTTTGAACAAGAGTGCCTCAAATACAGAATTGTTCAGCATTTCATTTCTATTTCTTAATCCTACTCCCATAATTTCAGTAGCTGTAGAGCTCCTTGTGAATGAGTTCGTCCAGGGAAGTACTGCCACCTTACATATACAAGCAGTAATGTGAGCATTACTGCGTTCCGGTTTAGAAGGGCAAGGGTGCTGGTGAAATTACAGGCACATGGGACTTGTCAACTTATGACTCAGCGTGACGGGCGGGGTGGCAGTGCCCATAAGGTCCTTGTCATTTGAAACTCTGAATGGCACTGCAAATGTTATGGATAGACGTGTCGCTTACCACCAGGCGCACGACTTATTCGTCTCGTCAACTTGGTATTATAAAAATAAACATATGTAAGCACTGCATTTGACAAGGGTCATATCAATATAGCACGAGAGTACTGTGACGAATACCTTAACATTTGAAATTATGTTTACGACCTGTAGGTACAAGCAAAATACGAGTAATAATGAGACGACCCTACGCTCTGATTGACTTGTGGGCATTGACGCGCTGAAGAGGCAGTTCTTAGAGGATGGAAAAAAATAAAGGAAAGGAGCTGCCCTATCTACGGAATAAACGTACCTACCTAAGCCAAAATTGTATCACAAATATGGCGAATTTAGTGTTGTACTATAATCATAGATATGTCAATATCGATATGCAAATGTATGGCTTGAATGTTGAAACTGTTTTTTATGTTTGCAAATTGTATAGTTTACTGTAATCAAAGTATGATTACAAATAAATATACATAAATAAATATAGTAAAGTATGAGGCTATTATTAATAGTCAAGTAATGAGACATTTTAATCAATATTAAATATTAAGTTATTTATCAATAAATGTAACGATGGAATTGCATTATCATGTAATCTAGTTACATTCAAAGGTCTATTAAAATTTGACTCTTCAAAATGGAGCGAACAAACGAAGATGGTATTTGATCCAATGTTTATGTTCGGCATACCTATAATTTCCAACCATTCCTTCTTTCTTTTTTCATTTGTATGTAAACTTTAAAAATAATAATAATGAAATAATAAAAACCTCGTAGTGCTTTATTTTAATAACACAATATTGATAATATGTTTGCTTACAAGAACAACACTATCTCAAAATAATCGTTATAAACAATCATCAAAATATATTAACAAACAGGCAATCTAAAGTAACCAAAGCAAAATTCGGCAAGATTTATGGATAAACTACTTAAATGAGTCTAATTACATGAGATATTTGGGCTATTGTATGATTTACAGGCAGAAAAATAACACATGGCGGTGTAATGTTATATTCGGTTGATTTCCGCTTTTTTTACTGCCGCACCCCTTTATGCTGTAGCGACGCATTTTTATCAATACTTAATTGTTCTCACTGTCAATATTTTTGTCCATTTCATTACAATTCATGCGAATAATTCACTAAAACATTTGGCCAAACATTGGTTTTGACATTTGATGTACTTCCCTTTGACAACAGGAAACGGTTATCAAAGGGTACTACAAAAATGGCAAAATGAGGACAGTTGGCATTTAAGATGATGTTACGTATTTTCGATTCCCGTGTTTGACATCAATTAATGCAGTGTTATCTCTTTTGGCTTACGACGACACGCAGTAGTTCGATTGGTAGTAGTGCGGTTGTTACACGACTTGTCTTATTATACTATGTCATAACCTTTTGGCTATGCTGTACTCGTGTAAAAATGTTTAACATTCCTACAAGTGCCATTTTAAGTTTCACATGGCTTGTTAATGGATACTTAGATGGGCAAACAGTATATCAATGTCCTCCCAAAATAGTTGACAAACTCCAATATACGTAATGGAATTGTCCTTCACATACATTTACGGGTCCAGAAGACATTACAAATAATGTAGAGACGAGTGTTTCAAAGTGAGCGAACTTGTACGAATAAAAACTTGCAAGTGTAATTCTGGCGACGAAAGCACCCAGAGGAACAACACAGCTTTGACAACGACTTCCGAGAGTTCATATGAAAACATTAGATGCTATTGTGAAACAGCTATTTTGTACTGTCTTTACCGTACTAAAAGTTTACTTATTTCATATACCGAACTAAACGATAATGCATGATTTTAGAGGTTTAGAAGTAGAATTCCGTTCTGATTCCATAAACTGGTCACAAACGACATTTTATACTTTAAAAAATCTCGTCTTATCCCACATATGTTTTGTTATTGGTCAGATTCCACAACGTACGTACGAAAAGAGAAAAACACCTATAACAGGAGCTTGTATTCATAATAATGAGCTTTTTGTAAATATTAGTCGCTGCTCGCTAAGTGGTGCCGCCAGTACGACTTTGATAGTTCATATGACTATAGAGATATTATCACATTTCTTGTTTGTTCGTTGATGCTAGTTGTTGATTTAGATAGGGAAATTGCATATAAAGTGGTGGACAATAGCTAGGTTAATAAAGTTCCAACTCTAATATATATCAACAATAGACCAATAACATTACGTGCTCAATCCGTTTGCCCACTGCTCAATCCGTTCATTGGCCAAATTTCGTGATTTAGAATCGCTAAACAATAGAAAATGTTACACTAGCGGTTCCATCTATCTGTAAATAAGGATTTTTTTTAAGTATTACTTTAACTTAACGATTGTATTAGAAAAGCGATTTACTGTAAGAAATGTGTTAAAATGTCACGTGGGTTCAGTTAAAATAAAAACAAAATATTAGGGTCACGTGGGGTAAGAGGAACACCGGGTGAAAGAGATTTGAGGCCTTAACTCATAATCTAAAGAGTATAGCACTGTAGACCCTCAGTCGATAAAACACACAAAGAAATTAGTTAGAACGACTTTAAAGAGATGTCACTACGATGCCCCAAACTCAAAAGGTGCAAAAAGAAATTGGATATGAGGTTGTTCCTCTTACCTCATCATTTGGAGGAAGAGAAACGTTTGCACGTTTGCATGCAATTTGCATGTTTTTGGCAAATACATCGTAAGTATTGAATTTAGCGTACAAACATGTAAAACTGATAAACAAAAGCAAGTTTAGTGTACTTCGAAATTCTTATAATTCCTAAAACTTTATCTGTTCTTCCTAGGGTTTAAAACATTTAACTCAAAATAAACTATGTTCCTCTTACCCCACCTGACTATGCTTAAAACGGATTCAAAGTGGGATTTCTCTTTGGGATCAGACCGGAATATATCAAAAAGTTGTATTGAAATAACCAGAAGATTTATAATTATTTTTGAACCTTTTGTATAAGTAGATTTTTACGACTTTATAGTACACTGGTAAGCGCTACTTACGCTTTATGCAGAAGTTAGAAAAAACTTTGTACAGAATAAAATTGCGTTTACTATACCGATAAGAGTAAAAAAAGTAGTTTATCAATGAAATAAGTGACATGGTTACGTAATTTATTATATAAATTCGAATATAGTACTTAAAGTTTACAACACGAATTGCTATGGAATGTAATGGTTATCCACATATTTGCGAAAATTTATGCAATTGTTATCGATAATCGATAACGTGTTTACAAACGAGTACTGAGGAAGTCAGAAACCAGGGTCACCTAGTAAGGAATAACTAATGGCTAATACGTACTATATGATACTAAATGTATACACAACTATACACTATAACTATTATTCACTGATTGTAGGTATAACGTTTCTTTAGCATAGAAAGAAGGACATTTTGGATCTTTTATCAGGCGCCATTTCGTTACGTCATTTCGGAAGCAAAGCAATTCAATATATGCCTTGAAATGAAATTTTCAAACATATTCACCAAATTTATGTAATTATTACGTTTCTTTTTTTTCGTAGTTCACTGACGGTTCAATGAAAACTTTCAATTTTCACCTAAGTACTTAATCAATTTCAAAAACTCGCACTATAAAAAACTTAAAGAAACTGAGGTTGTCAACGTGAAACGGAAATTTTTATAAAATAATATTATATCGTCGCCTTAATTTATCGTATATCAAAGCAGAAATTTACTGAAATGCAAAAAATGCATTGTATATACAAATTTTGCAGGCTGATTTCACATCATACTTTCTTCATATTTACACACAGGCTTTTACCTATTCTTAAGTAAGTTAAGTAATGCAACCAAATTAACACCCTTAATAAGAAATTTAAAATAAATAGAAAGTTTTGCTATCTCCTGAAAGAAGTAACGCATCGATACATTGACTTACAATTATATGGACGTCGGGTTCGCGCTAAAAAGTGTCCGAACTTATAGGGCGTTAAAATCGTATACAGAGCGTCATTCACGCTTTAGTCTTCGTTTGTTCGACTGACAGCGAAGCAAGCAAAATTAGACAGTACTGCGATGACATTACAATTTAAATTCAACGTTTTAGCTTTTTCATATTCCTTATAAATAGGTTGACTTGGGACATTTTTTTCGTGGTTTTTGTATTAGACCCGTCGTCCATTTATTTGTAAGTCAATACATCGATGTTATCGTGTCATTTGTCATCAATTTTCATGATGTTTTCAAAATCTTGTCATTGACACTATCGACACATAACCTGAGATGATTTAAAATTAGCAGCCTTGGGACCCTACAGGCATAAAACGCGAGATACTGCTATTTTCTTTTAGAAATCTCGCGCTTTATGTCGCTCTCGCGCAAGTCGCGGCCTGTCGTGCTAGCACTACTGGGCTCAAATTAGCTTCCTGTACTTTGAGTATCTAGCATAGCAATTGATTACTCCGGGGCCCTATCCAGAACACCTAGACTAGAACTAATTTAGAAAAGTTCATTTCCTAAATTGGTCCTACCGAGAATCGGACCTAGGATCTCCTCATCCAGCGCCCACAGTGTTAACCTTTGGGCCACTGAGATCATCAAACATATCTTTATATGTTATACCAGTCTTTGTATACAGATATACTAAGACGGGTATGACAAAGGCGAAAACAAGTCACAGTGGAACACATTTTGAATCCTTTCTACTGTTATAATAATGGAATAAAGATATGAAATGAATTGACAAAGAAAATTGTAACAGTGCAAACGTCTCATTATCTGTAAGTTGGAAAATTTTGATTACATACTCTTGATATTCTAGAAAATAACAACATAACAGAGTCGCTGAGTCCTTTGTTTCGGTATATAAATATCAAATTCTGCAATATGTAAAATAGCTGCTAATTTTGACAAATGACATTTTGTTCTTTCTAAAGTGGTTTCTATTCTTACTTATAAACGAAGAATTTTGATTATTTTGATCATATCGGAACATAGCCTTTATTATTATTATAATAAGAACTAGTTACTTCGAAAAAATAATAATTGAATCATTATTACGTAACGGCTTTACTTTAGATTACTATAAATATTTTTTACGTTGATGCAAAAATCACAATTTTGTGCATAAAAGTAGAAAGAAAAAAATTAAAGTACAGACAATTGTATTTCTATATACCTGAGGATCCAATCCGGCAAGTGCAGCATACGCCAACGCTTGCGGTATCACTGTGAGCCCAACTGTGATCCCAGCTATGAAATCAGCCAGTGCTTTTTCGGAATTGTACTGAGGCAGCCATTTGGTTATTGGCAATCGTTTGTGCATGAGTCGCTGGTACCAAGTCTGTCGAGAGTAACGATGTTTGGACGGGGACGACATAGTTGCGCTTTGTTCTACCTGAGGACAAGATGAACGTTTGAATAATCAGATTACTGTCTGACACAATGGATCTTGTACAGATGCCGAGCGCGTTTCCTTGTTCGGAATGTAGTGACGTTGCTTTCAAGGACATGGACATTGTTTCAGTTTTCGATTAATGCAGTGCGTAAGTGTTAAACAAATTTTATGTATATAAATACTTCTTTAGTACCATAAGCAGGTTCGTCGGGTTACCAATTAGGTACATGAAACACAATGTTAAAGTGTCTCTTCAAGTCGTGGACGATACGGGGTTAAGAACGGAATAAGACTCTTTCAAATGTGGTGCTGAAGTTGGATGCTCCGCATACCATGGATCGCTATGAGGGTTAACAAATCTATCCTGGAATAAAAATCTCTTTACGACATGCTACTCTACTATACTGCTAATGGCACTCTCAATGATGTTCTACAAAGGATTTTCGGTTACTTTGATCATATTGCCCGTCGGCAACCCGACAGCCTCGACAGGTTAGTTGTGGTGGGCAAGGTAGAGGGGGGAAAAGACTTCGCGGCAGAGTACTAGTACTAGAGAGCAATTAAGTATAACATGTCCTCACAGGGCTTCCTATTTCAACCTCTCTACGAAAAAACCTTGACGAAATCGTCATTAAAAATGTTTCAAGAGCATTCAGCAATGAGGAATAGATACGACCAAGAAGAAGATAGAGGCTTGTGTAAAAATTATTACCTTATTAAAACAACTCGTAGTTCGAGCGTCTAGTTAAAACTGCTTAAATTATTGTAATTAAATATCAACAAAAGGTTTCGTCGACAATCAAAATAACAAAATTAAACGTGGACTTTAAAACTGGTATGGCTTATTTTAATTTTTGTTTCAACACAAAGTTTACCAACAAAGAGCGGGTTTAGAGTTAAATTTCTCTTATAAGTTTCCTCTAGTTAATTTACTAACACATGAACGCCAGAGTAGGAAAAAGTAGTTCTACTAACATTGAAACGTGTTTTTGGTTGAAATAGCTGGCAATGTGTAGTGGCTTCGTGAATGTTCCATTTGTGTGGCATACTCGCAGTTAGTAAATGTGGATACGATAGGAGGCGGCAGACCCCTGCCCCACCTTCCCTCGACCTACAAAGGCCGCCTACAGGGAATATTGGGCAGTTGATTTAATTTAAGGCCCTTTGTGTCGCACACTCCCAATTTCCTAATAAACGCCCCGCCGCTAAACAGGGCGTCCGAAAAACAAAGGTGCAAGGTAGTTCTTATACATAAAAGGGCAACAATCGATGTGTGCCCCGTATAAATAACAAATATTACGTTTATATTGCTACGCAACCCACTATTTAGGCTTTGTTTAAAGATAATGAATGAAAAGGGTGAGCTTATGACGATGATAACATAGGTTCATTTTACAAAGCTGGATTACGGTATGATATGAAATTACTCGTATCTTTGGCGAATTATAGAGAATTTTGTTTTTTGTTTCCCTAGGCGGCGATTGTCCATCGCCTGAGAGTGACAAAGTTACGATAGACAAAATCCAATTACAGGCGCCGGTTGGAACGGCACGAAAACGACTAAGTGAAAACAATACCTCTACAACGTACAGTTCTGACTGCGTACAAACGAATCTACATTCAAGCAAATACATAAGCCCAAAGTTTTATAGGGAAAGGCCCACACAAACGGGCCAGAGGAATCAAATCAATTACTGTCTATAAGGTACGATCAGATAGATTAAAAAAAAAATTCAGACTAAGCGCTAAAGAATTCGAACGTAATCTTCATTGCTGCTTCAGATAAATCTTCGAAAATGTTAGAGTAAAATTGTCTCTTGAGTATCGTTAAGTAGAGCAAGGGCATTTAGACAGGGATTTTAAGTTTAATGGCCTTTCTACAAACAAAGATAATGAACGCTCTTTAAGGCGAGATATTTCAAAGCGAGATTTATGTGAGGTGAGGTGAGGGGGATCGCTCCGCGCGTCCTCAACCCGCGCTTAAAATTAATATAAATAAAATAAGAACTGGCGGAGAAAATTTCACACAGATTCGACGTCAATAAGTGCTCGATGACGACTGACGGCGCAGCGGGCTGCGCGGCGTGCCGTTAAACTGCTGAGCAATTTGCAGTATTTAAAGAGAAATATCTTCATGTGAAAATTACGTACAAAGGTAGATATTTTATCCTTAAATAATTCGTTTAGACTTTTATTTTAGCCTGTTTTTAGGATTTTACATGATCGGGTAAAGTACATCCTATCGTGTAATACATTAGCACATTCTTTAGACAATATCCTTAGGTGTGTCGTATATTTTTTGTAAGACCGTTATTTAATAGTAAATACCTAAACTATTTGATAAAGCAAAACAGTTTTTCCCACATCTCCTCCGGTGACTAATAATAATAACGCACACATTCAACATAGCCCCGTACTAGGTAAACGCTGTGTCGTGGGTGCCATGGACATACACAAACAAATTACAGCCAAACTCACAAGAGAAATAAATGTAGGCCATACAAATATTTCTCCCGGCCCGTGAATCCAACCTGGCATGGTAACCGTTCGGCCACGGAGGCAGTTAGACTCGACTGAAAATGCGTGATTGTTTTTTTTTTACTGAATACATCAAGATTTTGCGAAATTTATATTGACCTTCAAATGAATAGAACCCATTAAAACCATGGTGTTGATGGAAGTACCTAACATTGGTTTGCTAATAACACTGCGGCGAACAATATCGTAGTCCTTTGTTGCAAGGAGGGACTAGCCAATTATTCGCCAGGATTATTTCCATTAACTAAGGTTAGTGTTGTTTCAACCTGCGCGAATAGTCGCATATACTTTACTTATTTTAAGGGAATAGACTCTTTTATGTATTCAGTTACATAACTATTAACAATAAATGGTATGAAAATTTTTCCAATAAGATAAATGCACTAAAGTGAACAAGATTATAGAAACAGTGCAGTATTAAGTAGCAACTTGTAAAAGCACAACGAGCAACGCACTGAAAGTGCTTTAGAGAAAATCTGACGTACAAATGTAGGAATGCTTTTGTAAGCATTATTTTATTGGACAACTAGGAACACAAAGGACATAGGACCTTTGAACGCGTACATTTTCCAAGCATTTATAAGCTACAGAAGTGGTTCAGGGTTTGAATTTTAATTAATTAGAAAAGTATTTTATATTACAATCAATAATTCCCCACACTTCATCAACAAGCTTTGATGCCATGCGTTGCATCACAATGCACACACAAAGTCCTAATTGAAACTTTTCAATTATACAATAAAACATAACAATACAAATCGTACAACAAATCATATAATCATCGCAGTGAAAATTTCATTTGATTGAAGTTAACGACATGTGTAGGCATGTACAGTGAACAGCGCATCAGGCTACTACACATTGACGTATCTTGTTCCGTTGCACTGGAGGAGATTTTCGAACAAAAATGTGTAGTCTGATATGCTGTTGTCGGTACATACAAGTGGGTACATACATAGTAATCATTATTAAATTGGATTACATGACTTGACAAAACCTTGAATAAGCAGATATGTGGCATCACATTGCCAACAAAACACTGTAGGAACACATTAATAGATGTCGAAAACACATTTTGTAAAAAAAAAAATTAACTTGTTAAATGTACATACATACACTAATTCTAGCATTCGTTTCTTGTTGATAAATTCAAATTCTCATAATTACATCACCCTTTAAGGGTTAATCAAATAAAATGAAAGGGCCATGAGACCAACAGTCGAGCGAAAACACGTCATTTTACTATATGTTAGAAGTGTTACAAACAAGAGTTCTTAGATATGCGTCTGTCAAAACTTTTTTCAAGTCAAGTGAGATTACTGAGTTTTTTCCGTGAATGTAACATCCCCTTACAGGATGCAGGAGTTAATATTATAAATTTGATTGCTTGTGTGGCCTCTCTTACAACGAAGTATTTTTACCCGCGTAAAAGAACGTAATAGCAGTCAAGCACCATCGCGTAAAGAAGTCTGCAGTCGAGAAACATGTCTTGGATAAACCAACACATTGAATTAAGTTTGACAAACTCCAGTTTCTTGCAAAAGAAATCCGTTTTGTATTGTGACATAAACCTACAATACTGCTGTTAATGTTCTATACAGTTTTTAATTTATTTGAAATTCCTAAATTTGATTTAGTAAAAAATTCACACCGTTAAAATATTTTCCAAATCGAATGTAGCCTAAATTAGAATATGTTTTTTGGTAAATTAAAAATAGGGTACCGTAAGGTAAGTAAAATTAATAATTTTGTATGCATTAATATTAGATGTAACTACTTGATGACCAATACCATCTCAGTCAACCGTGATCATGGAGCCTGTAAAGAACCCGAAAGGATTTAGGTTGGAAATATAGTTTCATTTGCAATATTGATAACAATTGCGAAAAAATCTAAGTAGTCGATGCCTTTAAGGGTCAATTTTCAGAACACATTCTTAGACTTCTTATAAGAGAGTACGAAAATAAATTTTCACGTTTCTTATTTCAGTAGTTTAGAGTTTTGGAGGCATTTCATCCCAATATCGAAAAATGCTTTATTAGGTGCTTACGTTATAAAAGAATCCTGAGAGGCAACATTTATTATCTCTAACATCGTTGTTTCGGCTGTGCGTTGACTGGATATTATGGACTTACTTTTTTAAATACATACAGGTACATATATAGATTTTGCCTATTCCTCAAGTGCCCTAAGCACAGAAAAGATTTATAAAGAACACTATTTAGAGTCAATTTATTTGTTTAATAAAAGGTTTATTACGTGAAAATGTTTCGCTGTTTAAAATAAAGTATACTAAATCGATAAAACACGCACTGTATTTATTTTAAATGAGAATTGTGATATGCTACCAACTAAATAATGCTAATAGCCATATCTCATTAATAACGTTATGTACAATGCTAGGTATATTCGTTCTACAGCATAGTTTAAGACACAATTTTATGAAATCCGAAGTATTACGC